GTACCAGTATCTGTGTGTTTGTGTGTGTCTGTGTATCTATGTTTTTGCGTGGCGGTGTTGTGTGTGAAAACGTGTGAGTACATGTGTCCATGTGTCTGTGTGTGTTTTCGTAGTTTTTTAAATCAAATTGTACACATGTTTCAACACCAGTTGCACTTCATGATATGATAATGAGGCCTTCATACTTACTGTGTTTTCCAATCCATGAGGAGAAAACATTCAAGGTTTTGAAAAGTTGTTTTTTTCGTGAACTAGATTCTGGAACTACTCAACAGTCTTCGGGACAGTACTACTATCCTTTCCAAAGCAGTCTTTCTATCTATCTCTCTATCTATCTATCTATCTATCTATCTATCTATCTATCTATCTATCTATCTATCTCTATCTATCTATCTATCTATCTATCTATCTATCTGTCTGTCTATCTGGCTCGCTAGCTACTGTTTATATATCTGTTGATCTATCTATCTTTTTATCTATTAGCTATTTGTCTATCCATCTATCTATCTATCTATATGTCTATCTATCTATCTATCTATCGATATGTCTATCTATCTAGCTAGTTTGCTAGCTACTGTTTATCTATCTGTTAATCTATTTATCTATCGATCTATCCATCTATCTATCTGTCTATCTATCTATCTATCTATCTATCTATCTATCTATCTATCTATCTATCTATCTATCTATCTATCTTTTTATCTATCTATCCATTCGTCTATCCATCCATCCATCTATCTATCTATCTATCTATCTATCTATCTATCTATCTATCTATCTATCTATCTATCTATCTATCTATCTGCTATCTATCTAACTATTTATTTGCTCTCAATCATTTGTTTGTACCAAGTCTGGTTTTTTAATTAAGCGACGTCAGAGCTCGTCGAGGGTAGTCCTGTATTGTATGCGTTTGGTCCCCCAAATAATACAACTGAGAAAACTTTTTACTTTTTAAAAACTTTTTTTGTAGTTTTTTTACGATCCCATCGACACACTTTAGATCATTTAGGAGGCGGGTCTCTGACGTTATCTGTCAGGGCTAATCAGAACTGAGAGGGATACAACTTCCCAAATAAAAAAACAGGAGATACTTGAAATAGATTATATTTATTATCTCTACTCAAGAACCGAACTTGGGTTTCCTGCGTGCAACAGCGAAGTGTCTATCCGCTACACCACAGATGCCGGTGTGAGCTAAGAAGAGAAACTAGAAACTCTTAAGAATATTCCGTAGCGAATTCCCCCAAACACGCGTGCTGTTTTGTTTATATGAAACTTGAGAGGATAGTAACGCGCTGTTGTGATTCCAATTAATTAGACCTCACGATGACAGTCCAAATGGAATACACAAAACAGGTCGGCTTTTTAATCACAGAATCAATATCAAATCAAGCATTACTTACCTTTAATACACTACTATCAAGCAATACGTATCCTGATTAATGTACAAATAAAAGAATAGGTGCGGGGGCTAATTCGTTGATGAATTTAAAAGAAAATGCAGGTGTAACTTCTCATCATAATCCAGCAGTAGTTAATTAGTTGATGACTTACCACTCACATGCGTGAGTAATATGCCTCTATGGAAATGAGCTTTAAATCCTGTCCTGGGCCTGGGAGTTATGTAATTTATGGCGAGCTGAACCTGACGGCGGAGTGATATTGCTGTCGATAAAGTTCGTTTTGAAGATGTAATTTAACTAGTCTACAACTTAAAATTCATAGCGTGGAATTCGTTGACGCTGTCTGATTCCTTTGATAAGTGATTTCATTTAAAACTAAATGTAGCATGAAGAGGTAGGGAGTTGGTGTTGTTAATAGTGGGGGTTTTGGTGGGGATGGTGGAGGTTGGTGGTGGCTGGTGGGTTTTGTGGTTGATGTTATTTTGTTTTTGGGGGTTTTTTTCGTTGTTGTTGTTGTTTGGTTGTTGTGTTGTTTTTGTTTTTTGTGTTTTTTTGGGTGGGGTCTGTTGAACCGTGGTTTATAGGCGTGGTTTAAAGCAAAAGATAGGTAAACTTTTTAGTGTTTTATAGGACTTTTTTACCTGTTGTAGCCTTACATCAATGAAAACATGTCCAAAATCACCGGACTCCCCAAACATTTTCAGTTGGAGGGAATATTTGAATTTTGCCCGGGCGGCGGCCGAAGCCTACTCTTATCGATTTTAGACCACCAAGGGATCTACTTGCACACGGGACATCCGTGATTTTTCACCCTTGTCCGAGAAGCCTAGGTGTAGATCCTTCCTACCAGAAAATCAGGGGTATGGCGGAAAGGCAGCAGCAAGAAAGAGCCAAGGAGTACCAGTAGAAAGGCTGCAGAAAGAGTCAAGAGCCCAAAGGAGGGGGGCAAAGGAGGTGGTGGCAGACAGTGGAGACAAAAGCAGGCGACAGACCATTGCTAGAGAGCAGGAAAGGAGGTGAAAGAGACAATGTTAGAGAAGAATTTGTTTCCGTCGCTACCCGGATTCGAACCCGGGACCTTTGCATGAAAGGCG